GGCATATTTATAGAAAAGTAAAAATAAAGCAATTCCGAAGGGCAGCATGGTAAAGATTTTGGCTCTTTATGTTAAACTATTTCCAAAATAGTCAAAAGCAGTGTGCAGTCCCCTCAATTTGGGAAGATGGATGAAAGAAATTCCAAAGCACATAGATACGTTTTCAGTGTTTTAACTAAAAATATGGTGTGTGTGTGTGTGTGTGTGTGTGTGTGTTTCTGTGTGTGTGTGTCTAATAGAGTATAATAAGCTATGCCTTCCGTGGCAAATCCTCCATTGATGAGTCTTGCCTTTCTACTTTTTGCCTCCTTGTAAAAGCCCAGCCATGTGCTGCGTATCTTTACTTAAGAATTTAGATTGAAAGGGCAGCAAGAGAAAGCCACTTCGTTTATTAGGTATTCTATGCAGCACTATTCCATTCCCTGGTTCCTGCTCACATTTGATAAGGAATGCATTCCAATGATCTATGGTTAGCTGCTAGTGGCAAGAGCATTTTCCCTCCTAATTCCCTGCTTTTCTTTTTCACTCTCCCTCACCCACACACCTCTAACTCAGACCACCTCAACTGCCGCTATTATTCATCCAGATCATTCCTCGCCTCTCTGTGCACCCACGTTTATTTCCTTAGCAAGTCTCAGTTTAACCTCTTGGTGTACAAGAAATACAAAATCAAATCAGCTGTCTGGTATAGCACTCACGGGGACTGTGCACAGGTTTTACAGTTCCCACCCTAGAACCAATCAAGCAGGAGCCCATCAGCAAACAGATTATATTACATAAGGCAGCTGTGAGGCCAATTCTGAGGCCAGGAAGGCAGATCACGTGGCAGTAGCTTCACCCACGTGCTGGAGAATTCTCCATCAGCCCCTTGTGAGAAGCAAACCCACATGTCTGTAGTTATGTCTACATTTTGTGCCAGCCAGGGGGGAGTCAGGTATAGAATAGACTCACCTAATACATTTGCGTAGTTCAAAATCTAGATACTTAGCAGAAGTCATGTTGCCCCAGGGGAATACAGAAACCTGCTTTGCTTCGTTGAATATTCCTTCAACTCTCCACTAAGGCTAGCGGTGTGTGGGCGGGTGCGGGGGTGGGGGCTTTAAGCTCATTTGTCCAGGGCAGCTGTGTTTAGTGACTAGGGTGAACTAAGCAGCCGTGGTCACAGGAGGGTAACCTAAATTCCGTCCTTCCTATTCCTTGGATGAGCTTTCTCACTTGGCTGCTCTGTGGGAAGAAAAGAGGGCATCCAGAGAAATTGAATTCAGCTGCGATAACCCGACTCCACACTGCTAAGGCTCTGACTACATTTTAAAGAAGTCTAAATCGCAGATGGAAATTTGGTTTGAGCAATGAGCAGGCAAGTAAAGCCTCTCTCCACCTGGAAAGAAATTGTGGTAAGAAAAAAAGAGACTGGAATCAAAATCAGTTTTCATCCCACTGATTTGGTGTGATCTTAACTAGGTCATTGCACTTCGGTTCTGCTGTGCATTCAACTGATGCTCATTCCGCTTTCGGCAATGATAGCAATGATTGAGCATTGCTTTTAAGTGGAAATTTCTTTTGCTACCAAGACATCACATGCTTATACTTAGTATGCAAGAAAACTCCTCTTACCTTTGAGATCAAAACTATATTATAATGGATCTTGTTGTTGTATTGTTAACATAGTATTGCATTGTAGAAAGGAAATAAGTAGAAATTTAAGAGGAACAAAGGGGGACAGGAGATAGAGAAGGGATGAAGAAAGGAAGGGAGGAGAGAAAACTGAAAGTGTCCAGGTATATTTAAGGACATTAAGATAAATAAGTCCCACCGAGTGTGAATTCATTTTCATAAGAAAAATCAAAGAGGGCGAGAGAGAATTAACATCTCCAGGGACTCAATGGAAGCTGAGGACTCAATGGAATCTTCCAGCTATGTACAGCCTCCTCCCCACTGGGAATCTTTGCTGATAACAATTTAATGTGAAGTGTCACTGATGGGAGGAGGTCAGAAAGGAGAAACATGTGAAGAAAGAAAAGTCTGAGGACCCCAGAGGAGAAAAAGGGATCCCTTTTTCTCAAAGGAAAAAGAAATTAATCCATTCTCTAGAAATTAAAAATGCCAAATACATATTTGAAGATGAGATATAAAAACTCCAAAAGACAGTAAACCCAGTAATTAAATAATTACCTATAAATATCCATAAATTACTCTGTCCCAAACAATATAACAATATAGGAAAACAACAATTCTTCATTAATTCTGAAAAAAGGTGTGTCATTCCCAGGGTTGTTATATAGCAGTCACGATTCACAGAGCTAAGGGTCTACATCTTTCCTATGGTGAGCCTTCAGAGATGCTTGTTACATAAGTGTGGGTGGGTGGCAGCTGGCTTTTCACTCAGTGAAAATATTTTCAGCATTTTTGACTAATAATTTCTAAAATCTGTAGCAAAGACTTTCCAAAACCTTAATTCTGAGTTGTGTTCAATATACAAAGTTCTGGACTTCTCCATGAGCTGCCTTTGTTGTAGCTGTTGCTATTGATGATGATGATATTTTGTTGGTGGTGACAATGAGGTTGTACAAATAAAGGAGACAAAAGAGGTAGATCTGTATATTGCAGCAGTTTCTGGAAAAAAAGTGATTTTATAAAAGGCTTTGCTTCCATCTAGTGGTTATTATGTAAAACTGCCTTATTCTGACAATTTATTTAACCAAGTTTTAAAATACCCCTACACTATGCAGAGAGAGAGCTACTGACCAAAATACTAATGCAACTATTTTAAAAATCTAGGAATACTAATATAATCCCTGACTCTGATAAGTTTTACAGTCTACAGGAGGAATAAGCTACTTAAATATTTTCAGCAAAAATATTATGTTGTAAACAAAACCATTAATAATAATGTGGTTACTCTTTATGTAATACCTACTATGTGCCAGACCATTGATCTAAGTAATTTACATGTTTTAACTCAAACAATGTTCTCATTTCCCCTATGAGGTACTATTTTAACCTTGTTTTACAGAAAAGGGAGACGAGTCTCAAAAAGGTTATGAAACTACTCTAGATCACAAAGTTAAGTGCTGAAGCCAGGATTTGAACCAGGCAAACTGGCTCAAGTCTGTTCTCTCACCACTCTACATTCATATCACAAATTAAATCAACAGAATATCTAGTAAGTGAATCAAACCATGACAATGAGAATGGGAGCAAGAATTCAGAGTAGGAGAGAGATGTAAAATATATTTGGGGGTAGAATTTATAGCACTTGGTGGACAGTTGGATGGGAAAAAAAGAAGAAGAAAGGTAGAATTACTAATCAAAATGGAAAGTGCTAATTAAGACAATGAATTTCAAAGTGGACATAATTGGAAGAGGAATGGATGAAGATAAATCTCTCATTTCTTAGAAACAGTGAAAAATAAACATTCAATTGAAAATATGAATATGGAGCTGGGCATGGTGGTATGCATCTGTAATCCCATCTACTTGGGATGCTGAAGCAGGAGGATTACAAGTTCAAGGTCAGCCTAGGAAACTTACCAAGACACTGTCTCCTAATAAAAAGGAAAAAGGATTGGAGATATGGCTTAATGGTAAAGCATCCCTGGTTCGATCTCCATTGCAAAAAAAAAAAAAAAATGAATATTGAGAAAAGGCCCATACACAATTACCACAACTCTTCCTTCATGTTGTGAATCATTGACTTGAAAAAGACATGAGAATATACACATCTGACATGACTTTGTAAAACTTTTGAAGTTTCTGAAGTTGAAAATGTCTATTACAAGTTTTACCTACAAATAAATGTTCAAATGTTTTTCTAGCGAGTCCAGAAAAAGTGCTTAACATGGGGCCCAATATGATATGTCCTCAGAGAATCTTTCATAGAATTTTATTAAAGCTGGAAGGATCTTGGAGTTCAAGTATTTTAACTATCCCATTTCACAAATAAAGGAAGTTATGTTAAGTCAAATTAATAGCCCTTCACAATGGTGCACCCTGATATTTGCAGCAACTTGGGAGGCTGAGGCAGGAGGATCCCAAGTTCGAGGCCAACCTCAGCAACTTAGCAAGACCCTGTTTCAAAATAAGGGGGTTGGGGTTTGGGGATGAAGCCCAATTGTAGGGTATTCCTGGCTTCAATCCCCAACACTGCAAAAAGAAAATAAATATTATTGAGCACTATACTGTAACAGGGAACTGAGATAGTCATTGTGTGAGATAAAATGAAATATAAGAGAGTTCTTGTTCTCATGAAATTTACAATTTAGTTGGGGAGATAACAATATAGTTTACAAAACAGTTGCTCCTCTGCTGCTTAGAATCTATCCTACATTTTTTTTTCATCACAGTACCCTCAGTGATTTATATAATGCTGCCCCACACCATACGCAAGGTGACTCAGCCTGGTCAATAAAAGTAATAGCTCATTTCCAGGGTAACAATAATTGAGCTAGAGATGGACTCATGACATAGCCAGGCCAATATAATTAAGTAAGCATCAGCTCAGGAGTTGTGTGTGTATTCTGTTTGTTTGTTACCTTTTCTAATTTTTTAAAGTTACCTGCATACCTGAATTTATTCTTCTTTAAACTTGAAGCTCAATATCAGATGGTGGTTGTTCTGTATCTCTTTCAAATCCAATGGATATCTTTTTTATCTTAATATGTCCTTCCACTGAAACACCTTCTTTTACACATCCAGATTTTAAGGTTCATCTAAAATTTCACCCCCTTCATAGCTTCCTCTTTTTATCATGCCAATCTGAGGCAATTGTTCCCATACTCCCAGAATGTGTTGAATTCTGGTGAAACTCTCACCTCTATCTTCCATTTCACTAATTCTTTTTTTTTTTAGTTCTACCTAATCTGCAACTCAATCTATCCACTGAGTTTGTCTTTTAATGACTGTATTTTTTCATTTCAAAGCAAATCAATTTTTTCAAGCCTGTCTGGTCTTTTTTGATATTACCTTGATATTTTATCATATTTTTCTTTTTTTAAAAAAATAGGTCAATTTCAGAGGGCTCGTAGGGCTATGAAACCAAGAGCTCTTAATGCTATGACCAAAGATTGCAGTTCTCCACAAAATCCCCCTCATGACTCAATAATGCTATTTTCCTGAGGAGACATGAGAATTAGAAACATGTATAGAAGTAGTTCATAGTATGTAATTTTAAAATCTCATCATCTGAAGGACTTGAGGGTCTCATCCAACCATTGACTGTGTTGGTTGCCTTGTGCTAATCCTTATGCTTTTTTAAGTGTCAAACTCATATTTAGTAAGGCTTTTTCTGCATGAATCCCTTGTGGCTTGGTTTGGCATTTGTTTCTACCAGGGGAATTATTACTGGGTGGAGAGCACTCTTTGTGTTCATTTCATGAGTTGGGGTTTACTGGACTGTAAAGGGAGTATATATGTGAACCATAGCTCAATTGAGCAGAATTAAGATTTTAGCTTTTCAGGTGGGGACCGGGAGAACAGAGTGATTGTTTCCCTGGAAGGAGGTAGATGTTACTTCTGCTCCCTTTGAGGTTCATGGCTTTAAAAAGTCATTCCTTTCTGGATTTCCTTTGGCCTTAAGTGTAGGTGTGTGTCCCCATTTGGCATGTAAAAACTAATTCCCTTGGTTATAGAAAACAACCAAACCCATGACCACTCCACTGAGCAGAAAGAGCTTCAACTCCACCCTTAAAATCCTAATTTTTCAGTTTTCTGCTTCATTTTTGGTTCTTGGAGGAAATTCCCTTAGTATTTTGTCATCAGTTTGTATTGAAAGGGATATTTTTATATTTAGGTCATTAGTTCTTTGTTTTTTGTATTGGGATGGTTAACATTACCTAATATACTACAGGATAAGAAATGAATGTTTACAATTGATTCAATAATCAGACAGAAATTTATGACAGATTTTCTATTGTTATCCTAAACTATTATTCAAATAGTTTGAGGATTTTTTTCACACATTTTGTCCTCAAGTAAATTACCCCCAAAAAATGAAGCCAGGAATTGCATCTCACAGTCCTTTTTATTTCTAATAATGCTCTGCCTAATTTGGCTCCAGATTAATTGATAACAAATAAAGTGGTTGAAAATGTTTGGATTGAACATGATTAGTCAAAGCAACAAACTAATTAAAAATTAAACTAAATATTCCAAGTTCATTTTTTCAAATATTGATAATTTAACATGCCATAAGTAAATATTTATAGAATGGAAATTGAATATTGAATGAAACAGATATAGTGTCTTTCTTTATAGAGATAACAGCAGGGGGTGGGTTTACAATCCTTTAAGCATTTTAAAGCTTATTTATATATTTCTTTCCCAGAAGTTTGAGTCTTCACACACATTGCTACATTTGGGGGTTTTATTTATAGTTCATTTTCATCCAGTTATTCCTGTTTTTCTGGTTTACAAATGCCTTAATGAATTTTCACATTTGTCTCTAGCTCTAAATGAATTGCCTAAAAGCAAATTAGCATAAGAATTAACATTTACAATATCCAGTCCATGTTTTTATAATTTCTGTGTTTTTATAATTTCAACCTAGGATAATTGCATAATTGCAAAAACATAAAAGTAATCTTGTCTACCTTCTCATTTGCCTTTTTCATCCTTTTAAAAACTAATTTTCAATCATCAGTGTTCATTTAATTTACTTAACATGTTTTCACTATCTTTGTATAAACATTGATTTTATATTTAAAATTTCTGAGTTGTATTTGACATTACATGGCCAGTTTTTGTTCAGTGTTTGCTGTCAAGATTAAAGCTGTAATGCAAGCACAAAGAGCCACAGTGCTTACATTGCTGGCTGGAGGTAGGTCAAGCTGATGCTTGCCATATTGCTGAGCAGGAGACAGACATCTCTTCCTGGATTTTAAGACAGATAGAAAAACTAGATCTAAATATTGATCCTTCAAGGACTGTAATGGACTTTGGGCCATCAGTCATCAATGTAGCCAGTTATAATTCAAATTCACTACAAAAAAATAACCTCAATTTTCTTCCACGGAAGCCACTTTTCCACCTGACAGCTGATACTTCTTCTACACACAGGCCCTCAATAAATTAGAACTTTATAAGTGAGGGGTGTGAAACTTGAATCAGTGTGAGAAAATGTGCAAAAATGCTTAAAAGTACATGAAAAGTTGCAAAACTCACTCCATGATTTAAAAATCAAGTGTTGAGAATCATTATTTGAACAATTTACATTCAACAAAATGACCTGAGACTGCCTAATAATAACAACTAATATTTATGAGCTGCAACAACATTGTCCATTCCACATATTCCTCTTGTGATGTGCCTTTGACACTCTTCCCATCGGAGGTCACCACCAATATCCCTTCTGCACGAATCTGCACAGGCTTGTTATTATAGGTGTGATGCCATGTGACTTCTTTTTTTAAAAAATTAGACATTGATGGACCTTTATTTTATTCATTTATTTATATGCAGCTCTAAGAATCAAACCCAGTGTCTCACACAAGCTAGGCATTTGCTTTACCACTGAGCACAACCCCAGCCCCATGCTATGTGACTTCTAAGGCTTGGTCAGAAAAGGTGATACAGCTTCCACCTGGGTCTCTTCAGTTTCTCTTTAAATCCAACCACCATGCTGTGAAACATTGATTAGCCCACTCAGAGAGACCGCCTGGAGAGCCAGCAGCAACCTCCAGACTCATAAGTGAAAATGCCCCCCAAATGATCCTAGACCTCAGCCACAGAGTCAACCCCAGTCCTTAAATGCTCCAGTTGAAGCCCCAGGCATCATTGTGCTACCTCTGCTATGTCCCATCTGAATTCCTGATCCATAGAATAATCAAGCATAATAAAACAGCAGTTTTACACCACTGTGTTTGGGGGGGGGTCGTTTGTTACACATGGTAGATAACTAGAACATAGACTCTCTTGAGTGTGACTCAAAAGGATGGTGAATAAAAGCAATTCTATCATAGTAGAATTTCAAGTACCTGCACAAATCCTTTGGCACTGGCTAAAGATCTGAGTAGATGAGCAGAGCCTGAAGGAAACAATATTGGAAAAGCAGTGGCAAGGTTTAGGGAAAAGATATATGAAGCTGCAACAATATTGTATTTCTGTAAGTGAACTAAGGTAGAGAGTATAATTATAAAGCATGAATGGTTACAGGAAATCCCCCCATGACCTTACTTATTCATTACTCACAGCCAGTTTTGTTTTTCAGCCCAGAGCTTTGCACAGAGGGGCCATGGTAGTCAGGATGGGAACATCAAGAATGGTTGTTCTTCACCTAGGCTAAGTGCCCTATTTTCTAAGAAGCTTTTTGTTCTAAAACCCACTAGGCTTGCTTCTTTTTTAAGGAATTGGTTGTTCTCTGAAGGGAGGTGGGTAGAAACCCTCCTGATTATATTTAGATTGAACCATATGAAATTGTCACTATTCAGCCATTTTGACTTACATAAATAGCAATTTCATATGGTTCAACCTAAGATTTAAGAAATTCCTTTTTTGAAGATGGACAAGTGGAAAATCCAGTTTTAAAAATCAAGGCAATATATTGATCTTTTTTGCATGGTGCCTGAGATCAATTCAAGAGCTAAATCAGTAAAGTTAGCTTGTGCCATTATTCCATGAAATCATCTTCTTAGTTATATAAAAATACTAACTACAATGTCAGTCAAACAATGCCTGGTTAAAGCTTAGTAATGTAGGAGGATGAGAAAAATGAAGGGAGAAGGAGGATAAAATGACTGGTGGAATTAAAAGGGAATCAAATTTTGCCATCATAAAAGACATACTTGATTGCTTTACTAAATTTAAAGACAATGAAGTGCAGGAGAGGCACTTACCCATCTGAGTCATAGGTAGGATGGAAGGCAGTAATTACAAATACTATTTTTTTTTATTTTCTGAAATTTATCTCTGAAGATACTGAAAGTTTATCAGAGAAAATAACATTTTGAGTCACCCGGAGAAAAAGAAAGGAAAACATGAAAAGTCTCAAGTATGAACTACTTTGTTGCACTTTGACCAAGAAAATCCCTTAGAATATGCCAAGCAGCACCTGGGAGCAATATGTCATGTCCCGAGCAAAGTGTGCACAGTGGAATGCACAGTTGTGCCATATTATCTTGATTTCTTCTCATTACAGTTAAATTCAAAATCCAAATACTATGTGTTAGCAAATGTTCTAGACTCTTGAGGAACAACAGTAACCACAACATACAAAAAAGGAGACTCTTCAAGGAACTGGCTTTCTAGAATTGGAAAGAAGCTAAATAACAAAAATAATACCTATGTTTGCAAAGTAGGATAAAATGTCATTATAGCTATGAAATTAAAAGAGCAAGATAAAGATGTCCTGGAGTGCAGGACCTGGAATTTGGGGACAGAGGAAGACAGGTTGTGATATAAATGGGGTCATCAGGGTGGGCCTCACTGGAAAGGTAACATTTGAGCAAAGATGTGAAGAAAGCAAGAAAATTAACTTAGTGGCTATTTTGGGTAAGAACATTCCAGCCTAAAGGAATGGCTAGTGCATAGGCCTTAAGAAAGGGAACATTTCTGGTGTATTCTTTGAACAGCAGGGAGGCCAGTATGGCTGCAGTAGAGACAGCAAGGGAGAGAATAGAATGGAATATCAGAGAAGTAATTGAAAATAGGACATGGAGAGCCTTACTACTCAGAGTGGGGTCCATGGACTACCAGTATCAGCCTCACCTGCTGCACATATGTTGGGTCATAGTCTGTCTTTTTGTTTTGGTTTTTTTTTTTTTTTTTAGTTGCAAGTGGGCACAATGTCTTTCTTTCTTTCTCTCTCTCTCTCTCTCTCTCTCTCTCTCTCTCTCTCTCTCTCTATTTATTTATTTTTATGTGGTGCTGAGGATTGAACCCAGAGTCTCACACCTGCAAGGCAAGCACTCTACAACTGAGCTTCAGCCCTAGCCCATAGACTGCATTTTAACAAGATCCCCAGGTGATTTGTCTTTGCTGTTTGAGAAACACTGGTGTCATGCATTACAGGCCCTTGTTAGCACGTGGATTTTGGCTGTGGGTGGAATAGGCATCACTGCAGGGGTTGGCCCATAGGAGTCACGTGATTAGCTTTGTATTTAAGAGGAACACTGGAGGCTGTGGGCTGGGAAGTT